AGGATTCTGATCCCACCTTCTAGGCTGTTGTGTTTTCCTGGAAATCAGACCTGGGTGCTTTCTCCTGCAGATCGAAGTTTTTTCCTTTTAGCTTTTGATTTCTATCTTTGCTGTCACAGCGGTAGTCTTTGAAGGGGTGATAATGGGGAGAAGTTTAAAGTGTTCTTGCTCTGTATATCTGTTGAATAGTTGTGACATCATTTTTTCTGGAGTGGAGGCATGAATTCAGTCACCCCAGGGTAAATAGAACTGCAACTCATCTGTGTTAAACTCTTGGGACCTACTTAATACTTAGACTAGTGTAACTCATCTGTCCTTGAGACTGCTCTCTGGCACTGAGACCCACTGTCGTTGTGCAGCCCCCCATTCGTGCTCTTAAACCCTGTCTTTCAATACGGGTTGCCATCTTCACGATACTTGTTAGGAATAGCCTCTAAACGATGCCCAGAAATTGTATGGAAGAATACTAATTGGCTTGAGTGAGAAGTGAGCCAGGAACTCTTCCAATGCAAAACTACAGATGATGGAAGTTCAGCGTTTGTACCCTGGTTTTGCCTAACTTGCCTAGTGTAGATACAGTGTGTAGCTTCAGGGCTTCTTGTTACTATGCTGTGTACTCTCCTGATTAATGCTGGCCAGCGGAAGGATTTCTCTTTCATCTGTGTTTTAGTCGCTCATGCAGTTAGATGGAAGCGTCCCATCAGATACTCCAGAGAAGTGTGCGAAGGTGGTGGGCTTTGTGAGTGCTTTTTGACTGGTGACTGCAAAGATAGCATGCTGTGTCTGTGAGGGTAAATTACCTTGACATTAACAGTTACCTCAAAATTAACCTGTTCTGAGTTAAGGGGAAAAAATAGCCATGTTCTTTCATCAGACTCAAAAATGACAACAGTTATAAGGATTTATAGTGATAGGGGCAACAGAAGAAAACTCTCAGTACCTAATAATACTGAGATCAACTACAAACAATGCTGCTATGAACTGTGGCTACCAACCTCCCTCATGTTATGAGGGGCTGCGTGTAGGCTTATCCTGAGCAGATATAGTTACTTTTTTTTACTGCTGTCTTGGATTCTCTGAAGGATTGCTTAGAATTGGATGCCACTTGTTCTTGGTCCGTATTTCTTGTAGGGGGAGCGTCTTAAGTACTCTTTCCTTCTTTCACGCTTCCAGATTTGACTGCTAGCTCTTCTGTGAAAAGAATAAAGCGTAGTTGTCTTCTGTACTTGGGCCTTAGCAAATTGTTAACCTATTGGAAGGGTCAAATGCTCTTCCCAACCTTGGGAGGTCATATATACACATATTAGGGTACAGTTCATATGCATGTGTAAAATCAATTATCCTACTTGATAAGATTATTTACTATATGCAGCTTATTAGTGGCTAACTGACAGTAAATTTGGAGAGGGTGAATCCTGGGTTTTGAGTACTTAAATTGGATGGATATATTATTATCTTTTTTTTTAAACAAAAAACTTTTAATATTGTGTTTTAGCACACCTCTAGCCACCTAAGTATGCATATTCTCCATTTCTTCATTACTGCAGCTGCTCTCCAATGTTCTTCTTTGGGATGGGATCGTACAAGAAGATCTGGTCCGTGATTTGGGACTGAGCAAGTTGCTGAATCGTTACCTTCTTCTGAACCTCTTAAACACACCACCAGGGCTGGATAATATAGAAAAGTGTAATAAGGTAAAAGACGACATGTACATTGGAAGAGAGCGTACGCTAAAAGCTTTTTTTCATGAAGAGGAGTCTAGACTGAAGAAGGACTATTTAAAAATTCTAAAATTTAAATGACATTTTAAAAAAATTAAAATTTTTTTAATGATCTTGGTGCATCAAAGCATTTTAGAGCAAACATTGGTCCATAGGTTCTTCAGAATAACAACTTGTAGGGATAATCAGGCTTGGTTTCAAAGAAAAAGCACACCACTAATAATGACTGAACCTGCCGAAAAGAAAAGTCAGAAGTGATGTGACTTGGTTATATTGAAAGATTTTTCTTTTTAAACCTTTCCAAATATTTTTTTGCGTGAGCAGGTGGTTGCGTGCCTCCCAGAAAGATGGTTCCAAGATCTTAAAAGTGGATCAACTCTCCCTGAGTTGCTGAACTTCTGCCAGCACTTGCTGCGGTGTGCCCGTACGCTACACAAGAATAACCACAGGTAACATATAGATACGGCTTTCCCTGGGATTCAAGCACTTCCTCGTACACTTTGTGTTAAATATTTCTTAAGTTCCTTAAGTCTCACATATTTGACACTTTCAAGGATGTTCTCGTCACATATGTAGATAAAAGATGGAGTCCATAATGTAAAGGGGTGCTTCGGCAGTTCTAGTTTAATGCGATAGTTTGAGGCGCTAGATGTTGGGTACTGTTAGTGATCAGTGTAGCTGAGGTCACCTGATGACAAGCAGCCAAGGAGAGCGACCTGACTCTCTTTAAGATTAATAAACATAAAGTGTAATTAAAAGTCAGGTACATAAAAGTGCTGTTATATAAAACTTTTCTCTTTTTTTTTTTTTTTGTAGTGATGAAACAAAAGAAGTTCTTCTCCTGCTGGTGAAAGTCAAAGCTCTGCATATTGTTGAAGACTTCATTGAAGAGTACAAACTTGAACACCTTAAATCCATGATTGGGAAATAGGAAATTTTGAAGGAACACTTATATTCCTGAAGCAAGCCTGGTATTAACACTAAAACAGTTCTAATATGAAATTTAATTAGTGGACCCTGCCTACTCAAAGATTTAGTAGTAATCACTGTCGTCTTATTAAATACTTGAGGATTTTTTTGTTCCAAATGTCTTCTACTGCCATCTACTTTTAGGTTAAGGAGTCTTTTTAGAAGTTACAGTTGTCAAAGTAGAGCGACGGTTCAGGTGTGCTAAAACGTATGACAATACTTTATTGCTTTATCCTTTTTGGAAGGATTCCTGGAAAGAGAGTGAGTGCCTGTAAGGTTTATCACTGCTAGTGAGTAGCCAACTTTACAAGCTATTTCCAGTATTACATTGCTAAATATCACCCTGACTCGGCAGTCGTTGAGCTCTTCTGACTGTGGTCACAGTGATTTTGGTAGGGTTATCGCTAAGCCATCCCTGGTGAAAAAGAATTCATCATGTTGCAGGGGTTTTGGCCCTGGTACAGAAATGAGAAGTCGGCGTGCAGGTAAGGAGTTTGATGAATGTTTATTGATTGGCAAATGTGGGTTCAGTGGGGTAAGAGCTGCACAGGAGAATGTCTGGGGACCAGCAAACACGTAGCGAAGATAGTGCCTGATGTGCGTACTTCTGTGCTTGAGCGATACAGACTGAACTCGTGTGTGCACACCTGGAGTTGTCACACATCTTGCTTCATCAGGCTTTTTTTTTGTTACAGGCATCTTGGTGATGAGAAGCACAAGAACAACTTCAGTTACTTTCTAGTGACTGAAACTCTAGGAGAGTCTTCCTTTTGCTTCCCAGGAAGATCTACTGAACCTTACTTCATCACACCCTTCTTAGATTTCTAATTTTTTATAACTTTGTACATTTGCAATAAATAGTGTTATACAATAACAAGGATGCTTTTTTGTAGAAACCATAGTGCATCACAGACTCTGCGTGTTTACTTCTGACTGTATTTCTCCAAAATCTTCTAGGACTAGAATTTCACTCTTGCAGACTTAATCCATATGATTTCTTTTATATTTTTTTAAGTTAAAAATATATTTTTTTAAAATATTTTAATTGTAAATGGCTTTGATCAGTGTTACAGACAAAAGATGACTTTTAAAATGTTTTATTTTGAAAATAAAGTAAAAATATTTTGCTGTGTCAATGACTCCTATAGTTCAGTTCTTTAACATGTGACAAGAATGTTGTTAGAAGTATGAAAAAACCTCAGACACCATTAGCCTTCATTGCCTTCAGGAGTTGCGATTGAGGTTGCAAATCCTGCTTTCTAATAATGGTGAATTTCTGTTGCTTTTCCTCTCAGAATGCCAACAAAAATGCAATGGCCACTCAGCGATCACCACAAGCTCATGATCTCTTGCTTTTCGCTTGTTCTCCGTTGTCTCATCCCAGCTAAAGGTCTCCCCTGAAGCAACCAGCCTTGTGCTATTATAAAAATATAATGGATGTTCTGTCATAATTTAGTGCTGTAGATGTTTCTTTCTGGAAGAAAGATGACTTGTAAGCATGGAAAGGCAGTTCACACTTGAGCTCAGAACCCCTGTGTGCTCCTACTATGGAAATACAGTTTTATGACACCAGCTGTCCCGGTACTGAGAACCTACTCTGGCACTGTGAGCACATCGTGAACCTTACACTAATTCACGTGATTTGGCTTAAACAAACTGGCTTAGTTCTTCAAAACTGATTTCAGAGCATTTGTAGTTGCTGCTCTGTTGGCAGACTAGTATTACTGCTCTATTACTGCATCTCCAGAGAAGGGCAGTGAAGCTGGTGAGGGGTCTGGAGAACAAGTCTTATGAGGAGCGGCTGAGGGAACTGGGGTTGTTTAGCCTGGAGAAAAGGAGGCTGAGGGGAGACCTCATCGCTCTCTACAACTACCTGAAAGGAGGTTGTAGCGAGGTGGGTGTCGGTCTCTTCTCCCAAGTAACTGGCGAAAGGACGAGAGGAAATGGCCTCAAGTTGCACCAGGGGAGGTTTAGATGGAAGTGGCTGAGTCACCATCCCTGGAAGTATTTAAAAGACGTGTAGATGAGGCGCTTAGGGACATGGTTTAGTGGGCATGGTGGTGTTGGGTTGACGGTTGGACTCGATGATCTTGGAGGTCTCTTCCAACCTTAATGATTCTATGATTCTATTTGAAAATGACAACACAACTAACTTGAATGGGTGATACAAACCCCTCTCGTTAACTGTAATTTCAAAAAGGAGGCTTCCATTTCTGGAGAAGGGGCAAACGTAGCACTACGCTCCTCAGAAAAAGGAGTGGCTCTTTTCAGGAATAGAAAGTTAGCGTGCAACCACAAGAGTTTGTACGCTTTGAAATTTTCTGGAAAGGTTAACTTTATTGTGTATTTTGCCTGTGTATACACACAGAACTTGACAAGTGATAATCCATACAGTAAATTCAAAGTAAATATTAATTTTCTCAGAATTCCTAGACTGCAAAAACCATTATTATTTTTGAAGCGCTTCACTCACTTCTTTCCAAATTTTCTCCTCTATTTTTGAAGTATCATATTCTCGCAGCATATCAAACTCTAGCCACGGCTGGCTCCACTTCTGTGCTTCTTTCATTTTTTTTTCAGGTAGCTCAAACTTTATTCCTTTTATATTGTATTTTGGCCTTTCCCACCGTTTTGACCATGGTTTAGGTTTCATTCGTACCTGCAGCTAGGGTGAAAGATTAGTAACAACAACAACAAAAAAAAAAAATCAGAAGGTATGAAGTGATCAGAATTTTGACTGTGAGCTTAGCAAAAGGTGAGATAACTGCTGCTTTAACAGAAGGAAAGTAAGAGAAAACAGACCAATTTGTCAGTATGTTAAGGAACTACTGCTTTACGCTGTTAGGAGAAAAGGAATTCTTTGTGTCTGCATGGCTGTTGTATGTAGATGTTGTATGGCCAATGTGACAATATATAGCCAAGATACTATGTCACAGTATCTTGTAAAACTTTTTAATTAACAGTCTCGATTTATTACACAGCCCTTAACTTCACTTTATGTGTCAATTTAACTCATCTTTTGTAGTTCTACTCCTGTTCCTTATTAAGGGAAAGTAGCATGACGGAAAGGGAGGAATGATCACTCTAAGTTACTAGCCAACACTCTGACAGGGTCTGCTGGTTCCTGGATCTTCTCCAAGACGTGGATTTCAGCTGACTCTTCCAACCTTCTTTCCTGACACCTACCGCTCCCAACTCAGTAACAACGTTAACAGTAACATTTCTGTAAGAAAAGTTCTCTTCTGTGCACAGTGTTATACAGAGGCATGCGGAGGCCGCTACTCCTTGCATGTCTTCAAAATGAACTGCTGAGGATGGTAGATACTGATATTCTCAACATTCTTTCACTATACAAATGGCATAAAGACTTGACTTATTTAGTATCCTTTTGTCACCCTGGTAACTAATGCAATGGAGAGCTGTTTAACGGCCTTCCAGGGTATCAGTCAGATATGAAGGTTGCCTAAATCATCCTCCTACCTTGTTCACAGGAATTTCTTCGCTGTCTAAGCGAGACACAGGTTTCATATTCATATCGAAAGTACTATATTCAGGGAGGGCGTCTCGCAGGTACATCAGGTTGTCATCCAGCCTCTTTTCTAGCTTCAGAACCTCGATCGCCTGGATTCGAGGACTGTATAGTTCATAACATATTTCAACACCTTTGAGAGAGAAAGTCTGGTTTAATGCACCAACTTCATTAGAAACACTAAAACCAAATTAGTATTTCGTCAGTGTTACACATTCCTGTATTATTCAAGAACTTAGCAGAGAACTACAGTATACGGTGCTGTGTGCAGATGTGATTGGACACGTGCATTGCGTCTGCGCAGGCAAACGCAGACTTCTTTTGTAAGTCAAGGCTTTGGTAACAGAATGGCTTAAGAGACGTTGAGTGGCTTGAATTTGAGGAAGACAAGCTTGGGTTTTAAACTTCACTCCCGTTTGGTTACAATGGCTGTTACTATCTATCTCATTGTACGTGTAGTGTATATGAAGAGGCACTACCCACCCCTTTCACATTTGCTCTCAGAACATCACTATTTGCATCTCCCCCCATTTTGTCATAAAACAGAATATGAACCTATTACAAAAACCTCTGCTCGTCTTTGCTTGTTAAACAGTTCACGCATATGGCCCCAGTTCATGCAAACACAGCGCTCAAGCCGGGCTAGTATTTACATGGCTGGCAGTGGACTGCCCAGGCTCAAATATAAGCACGACCACAGTGGATCACGTTCAGTCTCCTCAGCACACAGATCTAAAAATCACTAAGCGTATAGACAAACAATTACTAAGCCGTTCCACGCCTTCAAATATATAGCACACCAACATCTCTGTGTATACAGTTTTAAACCTGCAGTACCCCCTAGTAGGTAGACTCACAATTTCACTTTATTCTCATCCCCTCCCTCCACAGACTAGATTTCTACACCAGATATCCCTTCGCATACAACTTCAACCTTTTTTGCTCGCCATTTCTAGCACAATTACCGCAGTTAAAAACCCACCTTGGTCTTCGATAACATTCCGAAGGACAAAGGTAGCGCCAAGTCCTTTTCCTCCTCTTTGAATGCAGATGCCTACAAACCGGTTGGATTTCTCACTGGCGTATGGATCTGCAGTAGTAACGGCAAGTACACTGCCTGCCAAAAAAAACCAAACCTAAAATAAATAGACTCTTCCAGTCAATACGTACCAGAATGTGGGAAGAGAGTCAGACAAAGTGCATGCATTTAGGTCCATTTTGAAATGTTTTATTTTCCAAGAAAACGGCCAGAAACAGGATAAACTTCTAACATGCCCTGAATTAATATACGTTAAAGTGATTCTGCAGCTTAACCATGAAGCTTCTTCACCTGTATCTTTTACTCTTCCTTATGCAAACTGAATACAAATAATCTAATGTATTTTCCTTTCTTGAGCTTTACTGGTAAACCATACGCTAAAGTGCCAGGATTTAAAAAACACGTAAGAAACACATTAGTATTACATTTTTAATGGAAACGGGATGTAAATATGAAATTAAAATACGAAGCAGTATGTATAGAAACACATACCAGTTGATCTAACATCCCTGACGCTGTGATGTTCTGTGATATTCTACAACGTGCAACCACGCTTTTTACCATCCCACCCAACAAAAAACATCGATGAAATCATGATATCTAGCGCTGTTACTGACCGACATAGAACTCTGGGATGTTGAAGACTTTTCTTCTCTGTATCATATCCTTTCTTTCTATATAGAATTTAAGAGGATCTGTTCTACCTCTGGGAGGTATAAATTCAGGGCTCAAGAACCTGTAAGAAAATCCAAACTTTTGTAAGTATAAAGCAAAAGCATTTGCATAAAAAGGACTAGGGAAGTCCAAGTATTTGGCCTAAAAATTAAAAATTGCCACCTATTAACCCCCAATACCAGTTGCCTTTTCAGGGATATGAACTGCAGCGCATGAAGTTACCTTTTTTTTTTGTTATCCAAAAGGTTTTTTCTGGGGTTTTGTTGTTGTGGTGGTTTTGTTTTGTTCTTTTAAACAGATTTTTTTTCAAAAACAACAATAAATGTTGGTCTTAGAGGAGCTGACTAGAAGAGGACAGTTCAGTTACTGCTGTCACAGCTTAGGAACAGGTTATTTCATGGTTTATTGTAATCCACGTGACAGAACGCTTACTATTTGATGACTTTATCGTAACAGATATGGAACAATCTATTACCAGTTTTTACAAACAGCCAAACAGAGCCCACAGGAGACACCACAAAAATGTTCTTTTGTGTCAGAGAAGCTTAAAGGGACTTTTAAAACTATTTTCTGCTCCAATAAATTAAAGCATGCCAAGGAATTTCCTCACGCCCTGGAACTCAGTTGTCTGGCTGCTGGGTTGAAGGCACACTTCCTGGCACGGTACTGGCCTGGGCCGAGGACCGTTTCCAAGCGACCATTTGGATGCGGTCACCCTGGTTTGGATGGTCAGACCGCTTGGCCGCAGAGCTAGAGGAGAAAGCCGGACACATTTAATTCACTAGTACAGATGTATCTTAAAAGTCCTGGATCTGGCCAGGAGAGAAGTGCCCAACACAGAAAAGGAGGACAAATGCAAACGTGCCTTACAAGCCTGACGGGGGCTGCGGGGGGAGCACAGGGCAACGTGTGCGGCAGCACAGAGGTTCTGGTTGGTGCTGCTGCCTACGGGCAGCCACACAGACAACGAACAACATCAAGCCCACTCAGGATCTTCAAAGCTGCACAATCTCAGGCGAAGAAAACGTCATTTAAATGTAGCTCCCTGTTCTGCCCAGCTGCCGCATCACACACTGCGTTTCTTTAGAAGAGCCGTGTAGACTCTGCACCTCTTAATGATGTTTCCATTAACAGATCTGACGACAGAGCGGAAATTCTTATAGTCTGATTTTTAATACCTTCCTCATTCCTAGGCCGCCTACATGCTATGGGGCATTTTTTTTTGGTGGAGGAAGATGAACGATACAGTACTATCACTCTCCCTCCAGACACAGCACCGCAGTTTTAACCACCGTGTCATTTAAAACAATGCAAATGGGTTGAGGTGACAACAAAAATACTCAGAACAAGAGACGTCTCATGAAGGTTACTGCTGCTGACGCCAGCTCCATTTCACAAACAGTAATACATGTGCTCACAGTTGATCTCAAGGTCTCAGGCAAAGGCTGACACAGGACCCCTGTCCCTGTCACCTTGCGGCATACTGAAGAGATGCATGTCTTGAACAGAGACAACCTCACACATGAACCCCAAATTTGCAAAAGTGTTTACTGCTATACATTTTTTTTATGTTTCACTGCTTTCAGCAACTCCAGAACACAGTATTTTACGGCGTTTTAAACATATTTCAACATAAACGGTCTTTGCTAGAACTTTACAAACGCGTTTTGCCTAATAATGCCTTGGCGCTTTAAGGAGGTGCTCGCACCATTACCAGCCTGACAGCAGACCCCAACACAAGCCCACTGCGATAAGCACCAGGACACCCTACCTCCTCTCCTCTCTCTGCTTCTGCTTGTCAATAATGACGGGCTTCGGAGGCGGCTGAAATTTTGCTGGCTTTCCATCGCTGTCAATTCGAGACCCCGAGAAAGAAAAGCACCCTGCAAAAATAAAATAATTAACACACACACCCCCCGTGTTTTCAAGTTGAACCGCGCAGTTCGAGAACCCACTCCCGCAAAGCAGGCCCGGGGCACCCCCCACCG